TATTTAAGATATGTGTCACAATAGGTTTGTCCTTATAGTGTATATATGCAAACAAGGAGTATCATTTTTTTCACCCTTCTAAAAATTAAAGCACTGACTACACTGACTACCCCCCAGAACTGAAATTCTGGAGCTCTTTTGCTCTGTCTGACAGCAGCTGTGGGAGTATGTAATAGAAGACAAGAGATTTTGCCATGAAACCGCATCAGTTTTCTGATGATTCACTAGCTGTAAGATGACCTGAGGGCTTCTGTAAAGCAGCAGGTCAAAATCACTAGCTCCAAATGCAATGTGTGCCCACATCTGTCTAAGGTATTTAGCATGAGGTGGCTTGAAGGCATACAAAGCTGTATGAACACACACGTATTTTAAAATCAACATGAAATCTAAATTGATCTTGTTTACAAAATAAAAAATTTAAAAACAAGGCAGCAATAATACCTGGAAAGCTACCTGTCTACATTGATTTCAATGGCTCATTTACATACACTCACAAGTCGTTCTTCAGAAACGATCTTGAACTGTGAGCTTGAGTTTGGTCAAAGATGCCTCTCAATTTCTTAACCTTTCACTCCAACCGCCTGTCTCCTTTCTAGTATGTAATACCTCTCAAGACCCAATCAACTCCCAGTGGAGAAAATCAAGACCAGCATTACTATTTTTCTTCCTCGGTGAATATCCTGTTTCACTCGGAAATGCATCCGATTACAGAATTAAAATGGGTTGTGAACCGCATTTCATGTTGACTTTAAGGTCTACTCCAAAGTGTTTGATCTAATCTGCAGTGAATTTGTGTTTTGATTACAGAGAAATCTTGAAAAAATGTGCTGAAGCAAATATTTACAGAGTTTATTTCACCCCAAGAACCCAACAGCAGCCTCCTTGAGAGTGTGTGTGAAAGAACACAGCTCCTGTTCCCATTAGACCGTCATTTAGCATTATAAATACACAACAGTGCATGGAGAGAAACATGGATGCCGGTGAAACTAGGGCACATCCTGTGCTAAGAGGGGAGGGGATGATTATATCAGGATCTATATTCTTTCGAAATCTAGTGCATTTCAGTGTCAATTCGTTCTATTTGTTTTAATAAAAATAATAATGTTATGTAACAAATTTGTTTTATTGATATTGCAGCAGTCATTTGAATTGTCATTTGACCCAGAAATAGTGCAGGACTTTGTTTCTAATTCATTTTACATCATGACTTGTCTTTCTTTTCACTTTTTAAAACACGTCTCTTTGTGTTCTAGATGAAAAATTTTAATCTGAGATCTGAGACCAGATTTTCAATGTGGTTTTAGACATTTGGACCCCACTGTACATTATATATGAGACAACGGAGAAAAAAAAAAAAAAGACCTCTCTTATATAGAAGAAGATACATGCCTTTAATAGAATCTGTGTTTTCATCTCCTGCAGTGCCTGTGTGCCATAACTGTCAAAGGCCACAGTCTTTGAACCCTGCATTGACTGTCTAAAGGAAAGAGAAGCACTGGTTTTCATCTTAGAGCAGTGCAGATATCTGCTGGAGTGCGATGGAGAACAGGGACGATTCCAACTGAAATCTAAAGCCCTTCCTAGAGGATGCTTTGTCAAAGCCCTGCAATCCACAGATTTATATGCCACTGGCAACCAAACACCACATGAAACACACGGGAGACTCAACTAACAGGGTAGACAACATTCAGAATAGAATTGAGCTAGCGAACAAGCTACTTAAATATGAATGTAAGGAAGATACAGTATGAATAGAAAATATGAATAGAAATTCAGAGAAATTCATATCAAATCCTGCTTATGCTATTTTACCCAAAATCTGTATGTGCTATGCATTTGTATGTTTATTAGAGTATAAATTCAGCAAGTTTTGTTGTAATAATTGGTACTTTAAAAATACATTAAAGGGGTCATATGATGCGATTTCAATTGTTCCTTTCTCTTTGGAGTGTTACAAGCTCTTGGTGCATAAAGAAGATCAGGGGTCGTCACATGTGGTTGACGCAGGCATCACAATATGGTAAGGGATGTACCATTTCCGTCTCACGCTTGAGGTATTCGGCCAATCACAATGCACTGGATAGCTGGCCAATCAGAGCACACCTCGCTTTTTCAGACCGATGAGCTTTGTAAAAATCGACGCGTTTCAGAAAGGCGGGGCATAGAGGAGAAACAATAATGTACAGTATGTGGAAAATAATGTGTTTTTTTTAACCTTAAACCGCATAAACACATTTCATTACACCAAATACACAAAATAATGTTCTTTTTAGCAGCATCATATGACCCCTTTAAAGTGTACTGCTAAGGTCTGTGTACATTTTGATAGTTTGTTTTTCAATTTGAAATGAAATAAACTGCGCCCCTACATTTCCCCCCCCCCCCCAAAAAAAATATCTATACATACAATTCGCTGCAGTTATCAGTTGAATGAACTCTAGTTTGGAAGTAAAACACCAATAACTTCTATTCCGTTTCGGTTCTTATTCAATTCTGGGCTAAACAGCATTAGTTCTTGCATTTAATGTGGCCAGTCAAGATGTGACAAGTCTGAAAACACAGCACAGATGAAATGTGAGTGACACAAAGCTACCATATGATATCTGAAGATATAATGCATAAGTTTGGCTTTTCTTGGTGCTGTTTGTTTAATTTTGAGCTTGGGTGTCCCCTTTTGTGTTATGGTAAGCCCAATAATAGGGATATGAGGATGAGGCAGTAATGACAAAATGTATTTATTTATTTGTTTGTTAAACCTTTAATGGAAACATTAAAGAAGTGGAATTGGAACAAGAACCCTTATATATTTTCAGCCCTAATAATGAAGCATCTAAAACTGCAATTTCAAACTATAGCAATTTCAGTCGGCTATATTATACATGGATTAAATCAGTTGAGTTATATTTTTAGTTTGAACAGTAATGGCAGAGAATGTGACCAGTGAAGGGACATATTCTGAGGCCCATGAATGCTATGAGATATAGAAACCCAGAATTGGCTCTAACGCATGGCATCCTGTATATACTGCTTAACTAACACACGTCTGCTATTTAAAACAGACAAAGTGCTCCCTGCATCAACCCACACACAAGCTTTCATTAAAAATGTATAATAACAAACCTCTCTTAGAATAGCCATTAGTATCGATTAGAGGCATAATCCCAGAACATATGCTGCATGGTATTACTCAAGATAGAATACGGCCAGAGTGAGGGTGTAAAAGCTGGAGGATCTGGTATGTGGAAAAGAATTAGTGAATCAGCAGATTTTCTCTCAGGAACCGAAAGAGAACAGCTCCTATTGAGATAACATGTATACTACTCGAGCTTACGGTTAGATCAGCGATCAGTGTTAGAGAGTAACAGAACGCTGTTATGTTGTCAGGTACAAAAAGAATAGCATTTATTCAAAATAGTCTCTTGAAACAATATAAAGTACCATTCAAACGTTTGGGGTCAGTCATTTTTTTTTTTTTTCATTCATTTTTTGAAAGAAATCAATACTTTTATTCAGCAAAGATTGATAAAAAGTGATATTAAAGTACTGCATTTTTAGAAAAGATTTCTATTTTAAATAAATGATGTTCTTTCAAACTTTATATTAATCAAAAAATCCTAAAAAAACAAACAAAACAAACAAAAAAAGGATCACAGGTTCCAAGAAAAGAGATACTGTAATAGTGAAATTGTCATAAAATGGCCCAGTGCAAACCATGTTTTGCTTTTTCCTTTTATGTTCCACAGATGGATGGATGGATGGATGGATGGATGGATGGATAGATAGATAGATAGATAGATAGATAGATAGAAAGCTGAGCTATAAGTCATCTTGCTATTCCTGTGTATTCATTTGCATTAATTCATATCAATGTAAAAGTAACTAAAAGTCAGATTACAATACTTGTGGTAATTGAATTTGAACGCTGATTACTTTTTAAGTAATTCAGAGGTAATTAGTTTGATATAATTAGTCATTTGTAGCTAGAATTCATTTTAAAGTAACCCTCACATCTCTGTCAGCGCCGGACTCCCAAAACACAGTGACGTCCATCTCTGGCTGATCAGCAGGCAGTGTTTAATGAGCGAGAGCCAGCTGCTTTCTCGAGGCTTCAGCCTGGGAGTGGTTAATTAATCAGATTGTGCTCTCTCTCTCTCCCTCTTTTTCCTCTCTCTCCTCCTCTTTCCTCCACGCAACCTCTCCCACAACATTACAGAACACCAATCCATCATCTTCAGCTTTTTACTGGGGTTTGCTGAACACACCATGAAGCAGTTTTCCAATTTTCCAGCAACCGAGTGGAGCTCTTAAGATGGCTATTTGCCACATTTGGGTACACCATTTCCTGTTGGAACTAGAAAGGAACTGAATATTAAAAACATGTTGGCTCTGTTCCAAAACCTCTGTAGTGAGCCCATGTAGGCAGAATTGTAAAGCACTATAGGTGCGCTCCCAACATGAAAGCTGTCACAAAAAGTAGACAGCGTAATTATGCTGCCTTCTGAGATACCTTCTTTCTTTGTTTTCGCCAAATAAAGTCAGTATCACATACATCCATTACAGTGAAGACAATCCCAACCAAGCCACACAGAATCTGTGCTGTGAAATTCATTATATTTGAAACACCCTTCATTGGTAAACTTTCACAAATACCCTTGATCAGTGTGTAAATGAAGACAGAATGTTCATTTTTGGGTGAATCTTTCTCATGGACAGGTTCTTCTTGGGATTTGCAGTGAACGAGATCTCTAGCCTCTGGCGTGATCTATTTTCATACGCATAAAAAGTGATGGCTGATGACAAATGGGGTCTTCTGCAGACAGAGATGCTATTCACAGCACACTGACCCCTAGATAATCAAGCCTGTTAAAGGCCAGCGCAAAACCCTTCATTACCCCCATTAAAAATCCCATAAACTGACGCTCTTTAAATGCCACCGGATGAATTAGACATGCATACATTCAGCTCAGGTAGATGTACAGTGCTGCAAGTTATTAATGTACCTTCGGTTCGGATGCTGAAAGGGGAATCGGCCAGTCGCTTGGCCGAGAACTGCCCCCCCAGAGAGGTCATTAAGAAGCACAGACTGAAGAAACCGATCCCCGCCACAAATATCCTGCAACAGAGAGACAGACGGATGTAGAAATGTATTAGTATGGAACAAGAAAAACTTGTGAAAAAAGCCAGACAATGACGAGAAACCACTATGAGAAGCAGTATAACGTTAGAAGTATATTGTCCTTGTGAAACTTTTCCAGGAAAATTACAGCTTTGTCATTGTTTGCTCACCTTGTTGTTGCAAACCTGTTCACTTTTTTATTTATTTTTTAAGAAGAAAAAGATTCACACAGCTCTTTTCTAGTTCATTGTGACCATGTCTGCAAAGCTCTATGTAACCCAGTAATAGTGGCCCATGCGACTAATGCTCTGTATTCCAAATATTCCGTCATACAACATGTCCATGTGACAAACAGAGCAAACAGTTATTAATTCAATTAACGCAATCATTTTTCACTCCAACAAAGTTGTTTTTGCCTCAGACTAACAGAGTGTGCTGGTGGTGACATAGTTTTGTATGCCAACCCGGAAGTTAGCATCACCCTGATTTTTCCATTGGTTTTTGGATTATTGTGAAGTAAAAAAGCTGCGTGTTTGTAATAAATCCATCAAGACATTTTTACATTTAAATGATTGCTTCCAACTAAAATACATGTCCTCTATCCATAATATTGCTTTTTCTCCAGTTAAAAAGTCATCGGTAACACTTTACAATAAGGTTCCATTACTTAATGTTGGTTAATGTATTAACTAACATGAACAATACATTTATTACAGTATTTATTAATCTTTGTTAATGGTAGTTAATGAAACTACAGTCATTCATTGTTAGTTCGTTAATTCACAGTGCATTAACTAATGTTAACAAGCGCAACTTTTGATTTTAATAATGCATTAGTAAATGTTGAAATTAACATTAGCTAAGATTAATAAATGCTGTAGAAGTATTGTTCATTCTTAGTTCATGTTAACTAAAGTAGTTAACTGATGTTAACTAATGAACCTTATTGTAAAGTGTTACCAAGTCATCTTATCTGAATCAGGAGAGAAAAATGCACAGATTAACCAAAAATAGTCCAAAACAATTCAAAACAAATGTGTTGGTTTTGATGTGAGACGACAACAGGGGTTTTCCACTGGAGGAAGCGTTATTATTGATTATGGACTTGTATTGGCCAAATGCCAATTAAATGCCATAATGACGCATTTACTTCCTACAAACACGCAGCTTTTCAATTCACAAGACATTATCTGATGGACTGGAGTTGTGTGGATTACTTGTGGATTATTGTGATGTTTTTATCAGCTGTTTGGATTCTCATTCTGACGGCACCCATTCACTGCAGGTGAGCAAGTGATGTAATGCTACATTTCTCCAAATCTGTTCCCATTAAGAAACAAACTAATCTACATAATGGATGGCCTGAGGGTGAGTACATTTTCAGCAAATGTTTGGGCAACCTGTTCCTTTAAGCTTCCAACAACTCCTTTAGTCTTTAAAGTATTTATTTTTTTATTTTTTTAAGTGAAAAGTAAAAAAAAAAAAAAAACTGAAAGTTTGAGTTGGAATAGTTTGGCATGATGATGTTTAATGTCCCAGACAACCTCTGTAGTCCCATTTAGACAGTTGGAAGCAACTGCCTTTTTCAAGAAAAGTAAAAAAAATAAAAAAATAAAATAAAATCACAAGTGGATTTCCTGATATATTTTGTGCTTGTGTTAACCACGGACCAATCAAAAAACCCACTGACTTCCAGAATGATGGAACTGGAAGTGCTGAAATGGTAGCTCACAAGAGTTGCAGCAGAATTGAAGTGCATATTTTGAGTAATAATGCATTCAATTTTGGTCTGTTCCTCAGACAAAGCTATTACATGATTTCAGAAGACTTATGGAGTCATGTGGACTACTATGGTATTTAATGGTGTTTTTGTCGTTTTGGAGCTTCCCAGGCATGGACACTGTCATTGCATGGAAAATAACTGCATGAAAACAACTGTATACATTTTTTGGAATGACATGTGGTGAAAGAATAATCTCATAATGACAGAATTGTCATTTTTGGGTGAACTGTTTCTTTAAACATCATTGACTTCTCATAAATCTATACTTTTTTTTCTTTTCTTTTCTCAAGAAAAAAACAAACATTCATCCTAAGGCAAATTGGCATTTGCATTACAGCTATTTGAGAAAGGTAGTTGAAATTCAAAGCATTATTCATGTTGCTCAAACAGTAATGAAAATGTGCAAGGCCACTCATGTTGACTTTATGCTTCTGAGAAGGCTACTAAAAATTAAGTGTGCTTTTTATTGCTATATGGAGTTCATAACATCATAAACAAAGGATAAACCACATCTTTGTCACGGGTAACCTATACAGTATATGCTGTAGCCTGCAGGTTAGAGCCTTGGATGGGTAATCAAAAGCTTTGAGATTTAAAGGAGATTTACATAGTTTGCCATTTTTGTAAACCTGGGCTCGATTTATTATGAACTATTGCAGATCCCCTCTCTCTCTCTCTCTCTCTCTCTCTCTATTATAAATCATATATAAAGGAATCAGAAACGTCATGTCATGTCAGACCAGACAGGGAGGGCTGTAACTGGACACAAAATTGCATATTATTTGCATGTATTTGCTATTTTGAAATAAAATGTTTCCTATTTCTTTACTGTTTTGAATTAAAATGCCTAATTTCAATAATGGTGGTATAAGTGGTATTAGGGAATGGCATAATTATTATTAAAAAAGTACATTTGATTACCAGAAGAGATTCACACTAAATGTACAATGTCTATGTCTTCTATTAGTGTTACATCTCGCCTCGATATTGCGGTAGGTTAACAGCACTGTTTGTACTTGACAATACAATGTTTATGTGTAAGTAGTGATTCGTTGTTTCTGCTTTAGTTTGTTCAATAGAAATATTGGAATATTACAGTAGATCAAAGTTTGAGATATGAAGTGTGTAGCAGGAAAACTCCCCACGCAGTCTCCTCTACTGAATTGCTATTCCTTGATTACATCATTCTCCAGAAAGTGACATTATGTTTGGTGGCAAAGTAACAGCAAACATCAATAAGTATTATAAAATGTAAGCTAACTGTGAATCTATCACTGAGCACTAGGTAACTTTGGCTCTTATTTTCATCATGTAAGGCATCATGTCTAAATAAGTGTCTAGAGTTTGACCAAAGCATATTTCTGTAATATCTGAAACTCTTTCATAGAAAAGGCTTGCTTAAACTATACCACAAGCATATTCCTTTTTTTTTTTTCAAGTTACAGAGCTCTGGTACTGCAGAACAGAATGACCCACATCCTCGCGCTGCTGGATTCCCGCCACTGCGAGAAACAGCGCGAAAGCTCATCAGCGAGACTCAGTTCTTACACCATCCTCACATCCTTTCCTGAAAGTCTCCTGACACCTTCAATGAAATCCCCTCAAGAACCGAGAATAGTACCACCTCCATAAAGTCACACCTTCTTATTTACAGTAAGCCGCTATATATCTTTCTTTATAGATATAGCCTACTTTTATGTGAAGGGACAAAGTTTGACAGCTTTCAGATTTTCAGCTTTGTTCAATGAAAAGAACCTGAGAACTTCGATATAGCCTTTTAAATAGGCTAACGTTTGTTTTTATTTGCGAAATATTCCTTACAAAAATTTGCCTTTTTTATCATTTGAATGTATTTAATATTTAGCTATCACTTTACAATAGCAATATTACCTGCTATTATACTACACCATCAAAAAGAAACTAAAAATAACAGTAGTATTCTTAACGTTGTTGCACTGTTTGAAGATCTCACATTAATTTAATGAGATTTTACATGAACAAATACTGTAAATGTGGCGTTTTGGCAGCAACTTACTGTTTTCGTGGTGCATTTTCGTAAGGACTTAACCTAGTGGTTCACCACAGGCACAGTCACACTGGTCAAACGCTACAGTGCCAATGCAAGGTTTGTCTAAATGATTAACTATATCTGAACATTAGATTCAGTCTTAGATTATGTCAAGTCTTACCTGAACGGTTTGAACGTCAGCAGGCATCTTCTCGTCATAGTTATGCACTCGCTATTTACAGAAATCATTTTTCACGCCGACTATTTAACAACATACGAACTGTGAAATGCATAATTTGCTTGAGTTATTTTCCTCCGGTTGTGTTTATTAATATGCGAGTTTAGAGTATCAGCCTTAATTCTGACTGAAAGCTCTTTGGTGAAGTTGCTCGAAGAAAAGCATCCGAAGATTGCCGAGCGAAGGAATCAGCAGGTCATTCAGTTGGTGACATTGAACTCCCATTCATAATAGTTTCCAAATAGCGTCAGAAGTAATCCAGCGAAGGTCCATCTACGTATATTTTAAATGTAGCATTAATGACGCTCGTGAAGGGAATGAACGCGTCAGAACTCCCTGCGCAGCGAGCGACGGCACTGGATCAATTCAACGGCACGACTGGCGTTTTCTGTGATGTGAGCCATCATTTTTCACCTTCTTTGAGAATAATGTTGTCTCTGAACATAAATGCTGTTCAGCTGCTTCAGAGGAAGCGTCTGAAAGCTTAAACCGCTCCGCTGTAGTTTCAGAGCCGTGGACAGCTCCCAGTGCGTAAACTAAAGGCATCAAGAGCGCCATCCGATGGATTTCTACCAGTTTACTCGGATTATCCGATTTGAGATATGTCGAATTGGGTCTTTCTGTATGCAGCGTGTTTTTGTGCCAGTGCTAGTCGAACACGAGCCAACTGCATCATACTTTAACCCCAAATTCATATTAATACATTTTATATATTTATTTTTAATGAAGAAAATGGAGCCATATGGCAAAAAAATCAACCTAATTTTATTTACTGTGAAAATAGTAGTATTTGAGAGAGTGGGTAAGATGTGCCTCTTTTCCTTTTGCTTCAATTAAAAAAAAACAAAAAACATTAGAAGATGTGTCATGTCAAAAGGTAAGCTGGATATGTGAATGAATTACATTTTAAATTAAAACAAATTAGGCAGAGCATTCTACTAATATACAGTCTTACGTCTTCTTTTGCACATTATTTTCACATGTATTTCACAGAAAAAAGTATATAGATTTAGTATTTGAATGTAGTCAAAAATAATTGTATATTTGTAATAGACTAGTCGTAGTATTTTCTAGATTTGAAAACAAAGCTTATTATCACATATTTGACACACTTTGCTGCACAGCAGCTATTTTAAAAATGCTTCTTTATCATAATCCATGGCTAAACTTCAGACAAACCATTTATATGTTTCTGTAAACTGGCAATTCCCTTTGCTGGTTACTTGTTTTGAATACGACAGACTCTTTCTAAACATGATGTGACAAAAATTGCGCACAGTTTGCTAGATTACAGGGGCGGCACATTTTACCCCACTCTGCTCTACTGCCTTTAATGCTGATCTTACACATTGCTTATGCTACCATTGTGTCTAGAGAGGATGTTTCATTACAGTATAACAGTAATGATAATCTAATGAGAATCATCATTCAGAATAATGAGGATTATGAACAAACTCAAAGGAACCTAAGCATTCTCAAACTCTTCGTGTCTCTGGCGCAGCAGATGGTTTCTGCTAGTTTTGTTCCCATCATTTCTGAGCCCTGAGAACCCAGAGGACTATTAGCAGTGCAGCTCACACCTCTGGATGACAAACTTCATATCCAGCAGTGAGTCTGACAGATCGGCCATTAATGAAAGCCTTTCTCTGTACAGTTTAAGATGCTGAGGATCTGCTTTCAAAAAAAAAAAAAAAATCAATAGTTCTCTATTTCCTAGACCCATAGTTTCAGAGTACAGCAGTACAACTACAAAAAGGACAGTGGTGTGCAAAACATTCAGGTGCAGTGGAATCCATATTGTTTCAGGGCTACTTCAAGATGGAGAGATTGTGAACAACAAGAATATAATTGTCTTGTCTAACAAAACAGACATTGATTGATGCTATTAAGTGCTCCTCATTTCTCTATATAATTTTCTCTTTAAAACAACAGCTCAGATGAGAGAACAATAAGGAACATGAGGTTCTCTCCAGTCTGCAGGCTACAAAATGTCTAGACTTGATAACCTGCAACCTGTTTTTGGAACACAAACCCCAATAATGACAGACCCAAATAGCTGCAGTTAATGAAGCTTTTGGACTAGAGACATAATTGCAAGCAACATACATCACGAATAGTTCATTATATTCTGGAGGGCAACGAGTGAAACATGACATGTTTTTCTCGGTCTGCTGTGTTTGACGTCTTTGGTGAAGAGCTTGATGTTCTTGTGGTGTCATCAAACAATCAGCATTTTCATTTTCCTCCAGGTACAGAGGTGATTAGTCGCTTGACATTTATGGCTCAGGCAAAACTAAGTGCTTATGAGAAATGTTGGGCGTAATTCATTACAAGTAACGCGAGTTACGTAATCAGATTACTTTTTTTCAAGTAAACTAGTAAAGTAATTGTAAGGATTCTGGACTGTCTGTGTCGTGTTTTGTCCCGGTTTCTGTTCCTGTTTGTCCTTATTTGGTCATCACGAATAGTTCATTATATTCTGGAGGGCAACGAGTGAAACATGACATGTTTTTCTCGGTCTGCTGTGTTTGACGTCTTTGGTGAAGAGCTTGATGTTCTTGTGGTGTCATCAAACAATCAGCATTTTCATTTTCCTCCAGGTACAGAGGTGATTAGTCGCTTGACATTTATGGCTCAGGCAAAACTAAGTGCTTATGAGAAATGTTGGGCGTAATTCATTACAAGTAACGCGAGTTACGTAATCAGATTACTTTTTTTCAAGTAAACTAGTAAAGTAATTGTAAGGATTCTGGACTGTCTGTGACATGTTTTGCCCCGGTTTCTGTTCCTGTTTGTCCTTATTTGGTCAAGTTCCTGTCCTCGTTTAGTTTGATTATGTTCCATTGATGTCACCGGTGTTTCCCCATTATCCTTTGTATTTAAGTCTCTGCCTTTGCGTTCAGTGTTTGTCGTGTCTACTCGTTGTGTTCATGTGTTCCGTTGTGGATATTCCCCTGTGGTTCCTGGATTAAAGACTATTGCTTGTATTCCAGTTTATCTCTCGTTCCTCCGAGCACAGATTGTGACATTAATGCATTACTTTATAATTTATAACCCATTTATTGACTGACAGTTCTCCAGTCCTCATGTTGAGAGAAATCGGGAGTAAGTGCAGAGGCGTTGTGTGCGCTGAGTAAACATGATGTTTCTGTAGTTCTGGACTAAATGTGAACATGCATTTACTCATATCTCACTTGCACAAAAAACAGATTCAGTTTTCATCAAAATTAATTAAAACAGTGAAATGCAAACTCAGAATATGATGCAAACCTGCAACAATTACATATGTTAAATAACACAAATATAATTTTTGTATTTAATCCTATTTAATTAACCAGTGTCTGTGCTGCTGACCTTTGATGATCCAATTCAACCATACTAAGCAAAAATTATTTTAGATAAATTGAATATTTGCAATTTGTTTGTTTGTTTACCTACCTCATGCAATCCAGAATGGCAGCACAATTGAATGGTTTGTTTGAGCTGTGTCCTCGACTGTTCAGACGTGAATTTACATTTCCTTCAGCCTGAGACTCATGCATTTAATTTTTGGTGTGAAAGGGATTTTACATTTGTCAACAATAGAACATTTTTATATTAAAAATAAGCAAGCAAGCCCAGATGAGAAAAAGTGACACAAAAGTAATGTAACACATTGCTTTCCATAAAAAGTAACACAATTGGTTACTTTTTTAGGGAGTAAAGCAATATTGTAATGCATTGCTTTTAAAAGTAACTTTACCCAGCACTGCTAATGAGCAAAGAAAGCAGCATGCAGGCCACATAATTCTGAGCGGTCCTGTGCCAGCCAAGCAACTGCCATTGAGATAAATGGGAATGCTGATTTCTCCAGGTAATGTAGACCTCTTTGACTTAATCGTTTAGCACATGGCTCATCTAATCAGAATTTAAAGTCAGAATCCATTTATAAGAATATTTAAATATACCTAGAGTACAGTGCTAATTTTTAGATTCTTTAGGAGCCTTTATTGGGACATTATTGAGTTAATGGAATATGACTCAGTTCAGAGCAACACTGATGTGAAAGTGTATGTTTTACTATGACAGCAAGAGTACAACTATTATAGAGCTGTAATGGACTACAATCCCAATGATCTGATTCTTTAAACCCAATGTAAATAGATTGTAACATTCAACTGGTTTATTGTTCAACAGCAAACAGCCAATGACACCAGTTTCAAAAACTTAAATATCTTATAATTTGTGGTCCACACACATTACTAAAGCTACACATAGAAATAAACAGTGCTAGTTGCACATTTCAGGCTACCTCAGCCTTCCAGAAATTCCTTCGAATTTATCTCAGTCCATTCGTCATAAGCCGGCAAGTGTGTTTAGATGCCAATAAAGCACTTCAGGCTCACAACTCATCAAATTCAATTTACTCTCACTGTGTGCTAAAGGCTCTCTATGTGCTCTAAACACTCTCATTCATTCATGTACATTAAGAGCAATCAGCCCACTGGAGCTATTGAGAATCTAAGAGATCTGTTCAATGAAACCTTTAAATTTTGGTGGCAAAGTGCTCTTCAGAAGCAATATAGTAGTAAGGACAGCTGGACACTTGGACCGACATTCTCAGACCTCTGAAGTCTTAACTTGATAATCTTGACTGCAGTTTTCTGAAATGATAGAAATAACAAAATCAGACCTCAAGATAGAGAGTGCAGATGATGTTGGGTCAGGTCTTCAAGCTGTTATTAAATAATAACTAACCTAGAAATGTGCTATAGTACGGAAGATAAACAGGTGAAAAAAGGACTAATTTAAGACTGACAGGGATGAGAGCCATGCCTAGGCACCAGAATATCATAAGGACTTGGTAGACTTTTTAATTTTCAATTAATTTAAATAAAGCTATTTATAATGACTTGTCACTAATAAAACAGCAACATTAACATGTCTTCATAATGTCCTTCACCCTTCATAAGAGAATTTTAGAAATGACACCCAAACCATTAGTTTTTGTTTTAAATATTCATGGACTCATGTTGTCTTTGGCTGTTAACAGCTGGTTTATAAAATATTAAAATACCCAAGGTTTTATTGTGTCTCTGGTTTTCAGAATGGTTTAGATCCAATTAATTTGCTTGCTAGGATAGTCTGTGTAGTTAATGTAATTAATATTTTTGTGCTACACATGCAGTAGCTTTGAAGTCATTATGAAGTCAATTTAAGTCATTATTCACTGAAAATCACTCCCTCCACCAAAGCTCTGAAATCTGAATCTGAAAACGTTGCATGTATGTTCCAGGCTTGATTTCACAGTTTATGGCATGTGACTGATTGCATTACAAGTACATGAATGTGAACAAATTATGACACAATTTTTGCGGTAAAAATTCCAGAATTCCAAACTCAAGATATGATGTTAATATGCAATGTATGGCCATAATCATTTGATAGATAATAAATAGACAAATACATGAAACACT